TATAAAAATACATATTAAAAAAATTCTTTCTATAATTAATAGTCATTTTTTAATTATTTCTAATAATTAAATTAAATACATCTTTTTCATTTTTTATGTGATATTAACAATTTATTATGCGATGGCCCACTAAGTCCCTTACTCCAAAGTTCCCAGCACTGCAGTCTGCAGCCTCTGCTCCTGCCATCATCTTTACATATCCCATCTTCCTCCCAGGCTTTCATCCAATGTCCAGCAGTCAAAATTAAATTATGCAAGCAGTACTCTTTTTCTCTGCAAAAGAAAAACTTATGTACATTATTAAATTTGATTTTTTTTCAATTTCAATTTTCAATTTGTAACTCAGAACAATATTCTAAAAGGTCTTTTAATCTTTTTTACACCCTATTCTTCTAAACATGTTAGTTTTGAAGTAGTTACTTCTGCAATTAAGTTTCTTCATTTGATAATAGTATATAAATTTTATAATTATTTTATATAAATTCTAATTCGACATTTCTACAAAAAAAAAAATTCAAACAAAATTTTACCTATGCATTCACTTGATTTTTTTAAAATCAAATATAATAAATTATATAATAAAAATAATTTTTCTATTCTCCTTATCTTTCGCCATTGTATTTACATTTGAATTTAAAATTTTTAATTTAAAACCTTAAATTTTTAATCATTTAAAACAACACTTAAAGTTATGTATCACATAATTGATAAACACAAATAAATCATCAAGCTATTGAGTTTAAGTAAATTGATAGCTATTTCCACACAATTAAGATATCCATGTTAAGCCATGTATATAGATTTTTTTTTTTCTATTATGTGTTTTTAAAACACAAGTTAATACATATTTATTATATCTTTTTATAATTAATTTATATAAAAAAATATAAATACTAACTTTAATTTAATTAATTGACTAATTAAAACTATCAACATAATAATAATGTTAAAATAAATATATAATTTTTGTAATTTTTTATCTACATTATTTATAATAAAATAATATATTCCCTTTATTTATTGTTAATAAATCTAGTTCAACTTTTTAATTTTTTAATATAAAAATTAAATGGAAACTTAACACTTTATATGAATAATGATTGAAAAGTTTTTTTTTATATAAAATTCTTGTTAAGTATTATAATTTGATACAGTTTAAAATTATATTTTTTAAACAATGTCACAATGATATGTCACTAAATTAGTTCATGTAGACTTATGGTGCACAAAAATATTTTTGATAGAG